GATAAAATTCCCTTTTCCCAAAAAACCATTGGATGCTAAAGGAAAAAAGCAAAAAAAAAAAAAAAAAAAAAGTTTATTACAATAATTTCTGAAAAAATCTCTTTGTTTATGAGATGGACCTTCTCTCTGCTCAGAAGATAAGAACAATAGTATTAACATGAGGAGGACTACAAATTTAACTTCTGTGAAAGGAAACTTGCTGCTAGTTAAGGGACTTGGTCAAAACTCTCACTGTAGGCAGTTCAAATTTTGTAGCTGTTTCTACTTATTTATCCTGTAAAGGAGTATTTTCTCTGTGTGTAATGCTTCTGATGACAAAAAATGAATGAGTGAGAAACAGAAAATGAAAATTCCAGCTCTGGTAAAATCTCTTTGCCTCCTCCTTTTGGCAAAAAGCTCAGCCTGGGTACTGAACCAGAACATTGTATTGTGTCTTGGGAGGGAAGCGACTTCTCAGTTCTGCTCCCTCTGTATTTGCAAAGTCACCTACTGAGATAAAGCAAGTGCAAGTATTCCTTTAGCTCCTAGAGTCATGGACCACACTGGGCCACGGTGGTCATTATTAGAGGCTGAAGAAAATCCAGACTATTCCCCACAAATGTTGAATAATATCTGCCTAATTCACAGGAATGTGTGGGAGATTTATTAGTGTCTCTGTGTGGCTTCAGAGACCTAAATAACAACTGTCTTCCAGTAGTACATCTTCTCCCAAGAGCTGTCAGTGAGTTTTCAAGTATAACTGCATACAACGTGTAATTAATAACACCTTTCCAATCAGATTGCAATGACAAACAAAATATCATCTGTTTTTTTGCTGTGGCAGACAATAATGTTTTACAAAACAAAAGGTAAAGTGTCAGGAGTAATTATACAAATGGTGGAGTAGGTTGTAATAGAATTAAATCATAACTCCTACGAGCAATATGGGAATGTCTCACATCTAATGGTACTTACATAATAATCACTAATGAGGGGATTTTAAAAGGGCCCCATGATACAGTTCGATGTGAAATTTTAAGTGAATGTTGTGATAAGACATAATTGTTTGAGGAACATATTCTGCCATCAGAAATATGTACCTGCCAACAAGCTACTGTTCCTCTTGAGGTAGATCTTTGGCGTTCATCTAAATTTAAACTGGTGTAAGGAAGACTCATGGTGGAATAAATTTAAAAAAAAAAAAATTTTAAAAAAATCCAACCTGGGGTATCTGAATGCTTCATATTCAGTTCTTCCCTCTTACTGGTAGAAATCAGCAATAATTCTGTTTCAGCTGGTCATTGACTTCAGAGAGGTGTTAGTGAAGTGCTGGTATTGCATGTAATCTGCAAATATTATTTGCAGGTGCTAACAGGATTATTTCTTGTTACTAGCTGCCAGTGAATGGTTCCATATAAGTAAGTTTAGGTATACCTAAGAAGGGGGTATATCAATAAGCTGATAAAAAGAGTGAAATTCAGGGGTTTTTTTAATGAAACCATCACCAGGAGATTCACAACACATGGGCACATGATGTCAAAAATCATGGCTAGTCAAAAAAACCCATGGGCCAGTCTAAAAAAAAAAAATAAGGGCCCCCCAAACTGTATATGTGTCATTTAAATTCTTTCCTGCTACTTCAGCTGCACAGTTGAGGGATGCACTGCATTCTGATGAGTAGATTTCTGGCTGGGAGTGAAATCTTTGCTTCAGCAGTACCTCACACTTGAATTCTTTGTCTTCCTAAATTTGTACACGAGATAGTTTTATTTAAGTGGTTTGATTGGAATTGAGCGGTGTTCGGAAGCAAGCCTTATCATGTTCTCTTTGAGATCAAAGTAGCTACAACAGGATCTGGAGCAATTCAGGCTTCTTTCTTGTGCGTGCCTCTATCATGATGGGGAGAAACCACCTTGGGAAAAGGCACTGAGTTACCTAGCCAGCTCACCTGTGTTTGGGTGGTACTGTGGTCACAGCCCGAGGTTTTATGGGGTTGTGATAGTATCTACCCTGGATACAGCAATAGATACGCAAACCCTCTGATAGCGGCTTTTGGTTGCCATTGTCTGTTCTGTAGTTTCTTTCAAACGACTCGCCATGCCATCCGTACACCATAACATATTTACCTGTCCCAAAGGTCTTTATTACTGAATGCCTGTGTGGTTATATGTGTGCACATGGAGATCCACCAGGCACTTCAGTGAAGAGAAGCTTAGAGGTTCTGCAGCAGATCACACCGTTGCTCAGACACAAAGCAGAGACCAGGAGCTTGTCATGAAATTAAACCCGAGTTGAAAAATCCTGTTTTCTAATAATGCAGTTGATTGATTGCTGTTTGATTAACTCTAAATCTACTTTTTCTGTCACAAGAATTGCAAATGTATGTGGTTTAATCCAGTGCTTCTTTATACTAGTTTTTATGGATTCCCTTTCACTTCAGTATTAAATGTACAGATTTGTTTTCCTACCTGAATATTATGCAAAATTCTCATCCAGGTGCTAGAATGTGTGGGCTTTGCTACTGTTGTGCCTCTAGACTCAAAGCAGGCATTTCTTTACTCAATGTCTATGACATTAGAATCAGAGAATCACTGAAGTATGTTCAGGTAAGCACTAACTTTAAGGGTAAACTCTT